GTTTAAATTTTCCTGTACGCGACCGTAAGAAGTGGGAACGAAGAGGGAAGTCACTCTGGTCGAGGGGTTGACTGAAGCGCAAGTGGCAGGAAGAAATGTTATTCGTATTCGCGTGGTCAAGCCATTTCCGGAGACAATATCTGGCCACATCCGTGGCCGTGGACAAAATTCGCGAAAGATTGGTACCAAAGTTCGCAAAATGAGATACAGTAAAGGGAAATAGTGACAAATACTTGTTTTAGTTTTTTTTAGCTTTTGAGTCAATATATAGTGCCCTTCCATTATCGTCAAAAACCCTGCAGTAAACTTACGTGGCAGTAGAATACTGGGTTTGAGCAGGCAATTTCACAGCCTATTTCCCACCTCGACAGTGCCTAGTGGAAGTGGCTTAGTCAACATGGCAGCTATTCTTGTACATAGCGAACTGGAGTAATAAAGATACATTTGAAGATCATAAAATCCCAGCTCAATAGCATATCGTAACGGAACTTCACAGTTCTTCGCGATCACTCGGGACGTTGGCAGGAAGGGCGGAATGAACCCGCCTTCTGCTGTCTTGCTCTGCCGATGGCGATTGGTTAGCGATCATTTTAGGAAGGAAACCACCATTGGTGGGGACGGGGCTCATTCAATACTTCTTAAAAGCGTTCCGTCTGATTGTCATTTTATAAATTGGGTCCTAGCCCTCCAGCTTGATCCACCAGATGAACTATGTCTAGGAAATGAGACCTACGATTTTGTTGGTTTCGTACAGCTGCGGGTTGATCGTACTCCACTCCTTTTCCGGTAAATTGAATTTCTTTCTGAGTACGTTGTACGAGGAGATGCCGCTATCACGCCCTCGCATAATCGTTGAAGCCACAGCGTCCACACGTGAGAAATGCAAAGGACCGTAAGAGAAATCTGAGAAAAGCTTCATTAGATCACTGTTTTGGCTCACTGAGAACCCCGCCACCTCTTCGATTAAACGACAAAGGTTTCCTAGTTCTTTCAACTGTAATAAAAACATTATAGACCTCGCAAGTCCTCCACAACAATATTATCTTCGGCTTCGCTCACTTGGGAAACCATTCCAAGCAAGAACTCATCCACTGAATACTCCTGCACGACGTCTTGAGCATTCCACCTCAATAGGAATTCCTCGCGAACAGTAAGGACTATGTATAGAGAACGGGGAAAAAATAAGGTGTTGATCATCTCTGGGCCACTGGAGCACCCCTCCCAATTCCCCCCCCCCTTCACCACTTTCATCTGAGTTGTTGCAACGAAAAGCTCAGTCGCTTTAGTTTAAGGCGACCGCGGATGCTCAAGTTCATGATTGCAACCGCCTCCAGGAGTCAACTGCAGAACAAGTTTGGCAACCGTTAATGGGAAAGAGCACCCGTTTATTACTGCACGCATCTTTGCGCAGAATATGGAGGCGCAAAGAGAACAGTAGTTTCAAAAGTATCGTCGTTCATTATGCGCTTTCATTTGTGCTTTAGTAATTATGCCCAACGTTATACAATCCCAGCTAGGACAAAGTTTATGATTCAAAGCTGAAAAAAAAAAAAAAAAAAAAAAAAAATTGAAATATAAGTTTACCCAATTCTGGCAGAGACAAGGGCAGGAAAGGTTGCCGAAACTTCACGGAATTCGGCGAGCCTTCTACATTTTTTTCGACGATATTTGCGTGGAGGAAATCTGAAGACGCAAGGCTAGCATTCGGAAACCCTGCTTCTCGCGAGTTATTTCTATCCCTTACTGAAAAGGTGGTATCCTTCAAAGGAAAAATTAAACTGACGATGGTGTACACGAATCTAGACGCTACATCAGCGAACGAGTGCGAGATTCGCAGTGGACCAGTAGTTGTATCCATTGTTATGGCGGCTACTCCTCGTTTGATCAGTAAGGAGAAAGTCGTTAATAGATGATTTTCTGAAAATCAGCTCTGCTATGTAACTTGCTCAGTCTCACTGGGTTTGGAAATAGCTTTTGCAATTGTTATTGCATTGTTCTCAAAGTTCCGTGAAAGGCACATTTTGCGATTGCAAGTCTTAGGTAGTGCGCCTCAGACATGAATGCTTAAGTGGTGTACAAGTCTTCCTGAGAAACTGGAGAGAATCTTCGAGAAGAGCCTGAACACGGCGGACTCCATTTTCTCTGCACTCAGTTGCATGCACTCTTGAGCAGCAAGAACATATGAAAAAAAGCAGGAGCGTGATCGATCTGGGAGAAAGAGGGTTAAAGTCAGCAAGGGGTATGCGGATGAGATGAGAGAGGGACACCTGGAGTGAGCGACGTACGCGCCGATGTTACTTCTTTTGTCTAGGAACGAACTCCACGGCCATGCAGGCTTAAAGGCACTTTCCGCGATAAAATAAGGCTATGACCTTTCAAATGTGTCAGACGATCCGGAAGGAGATTGCGGAGGCTGCGCTACCTTTAGAAAGTGAAAATCGGCAAGAATTCCGCTTAAGTACCGGTTAGGCCCATGGGCGCCCCTTAGGCCCATGCCGACCCCCACCGGCTGCTAGCTACTAGCTAGTAGCCACTATGCTATCTCTCTCCATTCCGAATGGTGAGAGTGAGGTGATACGATAAAAGAGCTGATATCTTTATGATAACGACGAGGGAAATTCGTACAAACATGCGTTTTCTTCATTGCATGCATGTACAAGTTGGGGTCGATATGGAATCCTATTTAGGGCATTTTCGGCTGTTTTTCTGCTGCTTTTCTCCGCTAATCAGATACTCGCTCCTTTTCGTTCTATGTGGGTTCGCTACGCGACAATCTTGTGGTCGTGGGCTTTGCCTTTAAGGTTTTTTCGTGGATATTCGATTCTGGAGTGAGGGTAAGTGCAACGGACAGCGTTTACCGCTCGCCATCGGCTTCTGCAACTTTGTCCTGGGAGGATAAGAACACTGACTTAGACATCTGCAGGCCACCGCAAGTCATTGTTCAGACCACAACGCATTCAAAAGTCTCTACGATTCTGAATGAAAGTAATAGAAATGTGTGGCGTATCTCAAGAAGGGGCTTACTAACAGCAAACAATTTATCCTCATTTCACTTTGAGTTAATTGCCGCCTTGTCTTTTGTTGGACTTACAACTGTTGCAGAATGAAAATGTCCCTCTGAAATAACAGCAGCCGCCACGTTTGAATGAAGTATGCAGCCATGTCTACCGCTATCAAGGATTCTAGATACAGGTGGTATGCAAAGGTGTTGGAAGTAACAGGTATGATGTTACTGCTCAAGTAGCGTTGACAATGTGCGAAGATGAGAGAATGTACGCGCTGCGCCGTAGCTCAAATGGAGGCCAGCCGCCGTCAGCCTAGAGCCGGCTGTCCTAGAAGAACTTTCAACAACTTCTAGGTAACAACCTACACGAAAATACCTTGAGAAGAAGCAGACGTAGTAGATCAGCTGAAAGAACTACCTGAATTGTGGCGATTACCCATCTTCGAGCAGCTTGAAAAAGCTCTTCATCAGTCCATGAAGGGTGTTCATTTTGCATTCTGAAAACAGAATAACATCAAGAAGGAAGGGGAGCTGTCAGAGCTGGGAATTAGCGAAAAAGTCTTCCAAACACTGATGGGAGCTTCATATTATGATAACTGTTGTTTTACGCCGCAGTTCGCGCATCGAAAGTTACCACAAGAATGCTGAGTTATGGGCAAAAGTCGAACCCGCACCTCACGCTTTCCGGGCGAGTGCGCTATCCGTTACGCAGTGAGGTGCGGGTTCGACTCCTGTCTAGGGTTCGACTTTTGCCCACAACTCGGCATTCTTGTGGTAACTGATGGAAGCGTATCGCAGCAAATTATACTGCATCCCAGCAATGAGAGGGCGTGGCTGCGTACTTTACTTGAATCGGCCATAGGATGCGCGTGATGGGATAATCCCATTTATTGCGAGTGTTGCCCTACCTTGCAATGGACAAAGTTACGGTTGCAACGGTTCTTGAACTGCAATATCCCTACAGAAGCGCAGCTGCCAGAGGAAGTACGCAACCACGGACTCTTCATCTGTGGAATTCCTTGCGAAGAGAAGCGATTCATAAGACAGAAATACCTTTTGGCCATTACGTTGTGCCATCTATAGAGCATGATACCGATAGAAAGGAGACCCGGATTTTCGTTGACCCGTGGATCACCAAGAACTGAAATCAATCATTTGATGTATACTAAATTCTACAGTTGATGTCGTAGCAATCAGTCGGGACGCGGTTTCGGAGGCATAGAATGAGCCCGAAGTGTTTTACCACTGTGTGTTCGAACCCGCAGCTTTTGTACGTTATCCGATCACAACTGAAAACGGAGCTGGAGCTCGTTCAGCCTCTACTGAAGACGTCCCGACTGATGGTGAGGGTATCAGCTATCATCACTTGATAGCGTCGAACAAACAGATAGGAACAATGCCGAAATATGGAAAGATCAAAGAAATCACTACTAACGAAAGAGACGGTTAGGACTGAGTAGCCGATGTGCTTGTGGAGGTGGAGGGTTGTCCAGCGGAATATTGGCCTCATTTCGTTGTGGGTACCTGCACAAAGCCAAATAGGTTCTCAGTTTTGAAGCACTAACCTGCATAACGAACCCTTTCTCAGGCCCTCCTTGAACGTGCCATTCTCATATGATCTCATTGATGCTACCCATGCCTCCACGACACTGTACACAAATGAGCCGTCGATCCATGCTGTTCGTTCGTTTATCTAAGAAATATTACAAAAATTGGAATTGCCAGCTTAAGATAATGGCTCAAAGAAAAGAAGGTCATTGAGAAATGGTGGGAGTAGCACGCGTGTATTTTTGTGCATGGCATGGTCACTGCTATGCGTAACCTGCATAAGCAGTTATAGAGTCAACGACATACTGTCCACAGCAACGATCATGCAAATGCTTCTTTCTGCATATAGGCTCAAGGGAATCTGGCTAATCTCAAGATACCGTAGCCAGATCCTCCAATAACCGCGAGTGATGCTCTGGATTTCAGCGAGTGTGAGGCGCGTGGTGTGAAGGAGCAGAAGCCACCCAGGTGGGACTGAAAGACTGCGAGAACGAAGGCGAAGCGATGACACGCTGACTCCCGGATTCATCTACTGCCAATATCCTGTTCGATCGGCTTCCAATGAAATACATATTGCATTCGATCTGCACACTTATATCGATTGTTTTGGAAGCTGTAGCTTGTGCGTTTAGAGGGTCACTGGGAGTGGAAAGAGTATTCTTCACAAAGAATTACCCTATAGATACAATGAGCTGCAAAGGCATTGGTAACATACGAAGCACCAGCAGTTTTGTTTGTTACCGCATCTGTGCACGGCCATAAAAACGCAGGTGTCATCTCTTCTAACTACGCTCTTCAACTCCATTTTATTCCCACTCGAAGGCATAATGCATGATTAATTTGGTATTTGTCCGAAAATAGTAGCAAGGGTGCTATATACTTTGAAAATGACGAAAAAGTGAAGTTAAACTGCTAAAAACCTGCGAAAAATCCTTTGTTCTGCACGGCATGGACGAGCATTTTTGGACGAGTTTCCCGTTGTCATTCTGCCAGCAACCGCTTTGATAGAAATGTATAATTACATCCATATAGCCGTCAATGGTTGTACGTCACAAATGCAGAGAAAAGAGCACCAGCGGTCGATGTGAATTGTGGGCGAGCGCGTGCGGTGGGCGTTCGGATCGGTGTGTTGCAC